GATCAGAGAACATTTCACTATTTATGCTATGAAGGCGAAAAAAAAACATGAAAAACCCTTACAAAACAATTATAAAGCGGAATTTCGATCCAGGTGGGTCGATTTTCATCTTCCCATAGTACCTTAAAACAGAGCCTGGGAAGGAAGAATAATCCGTTCTAATCTCGGGGTCGGCAGTGTTGCTGCCGTGAGCAATGTTGTCGTCTGGGGGCGGATGGGAGAACCTCTTCCAACGTATTCGTGGCCGACGGTTCTATTGGATTAACCGACCGAGCGAGCGATTAAAATTGTCATTCCATCGAAATGAATGGAATTGTTATTCGCGTTTGAATCTCTCATCGAACGCCTCTTTTTTCTTTTCCAACGTCACTGCATAGTTCGCAAAATAAGGAAAGGTCATTCAATGATTGCAGTCGTATGAAATGGTGACTTTTATAAGTTCATCCACACCCTTTTGGTATGGATTGGGAATAAACGTAATTCATTTATTTAAATGAAACATGTATTATTTTTATAATTCTAAGAGCGGCGCTCCAGTAACTTTCCGAGACCCCTCAGAGAGTTATTATTATTCTGAAACATCTCGGCGTCTCGTTGTCTGAATTTTCCTTCATAAACTCGACATCCGACATAAATCTCCAGTTTCGTCCGTGTTCCTGACTTCCCTACAGCCACCGAGAAATGCCTCCCTTCATTTTGGATTTTGCTCTTTCTATTCCGTTAGAGTCGGGGGACTCTTAGAAAGCAAAAGAACGAGATGAGAAAAATGGCCTGCAACTAGTCGATTAGAGCTTTAGAGAGCATAAAGTCCAATAGCAGCCATCGTTATTTTACCTCTTCAATCCGTAGTCGTGAGAACGGAAATGACATACCTCTGTGTTCCTCGCCGAAGGCATATTTTAAATGAAAAATTGATGCTCCTCACGAAAGCAAATGAGGCTCGCGATGAAGAGCGCGCATGAATTGAGGGATCCAGGCAGATCAGAGTCCAGGCAGGCCAGAATCTAGGCAGCAGCAATCAGTCTGGAGAGAATCCCAGCGGGTGAGCATTCAGGCATTTTCTTATATTTTCTGGGAATAGGGTAAGTGCTGCGAATGTCGGCAATGGGGGTAATCTCGGCACTTTGCAATCGTCAAAATACTGCTTTCACTACTAGTCCCCATAGGCACGAGTAGATTAGTCCTACCATCTGAGAATACTTATGTTGTTAACATGTTCTTGGAACAGTCATATTTGCTGTTGTAGTTTTCTCGCAGTAGTCACTTTCTCCAAGCGCACCCCGAAAATCCTGCGAAATCTTGTGATTTTGTTAAGCTTTAACACATTCCGTTCTTCTCTTCCGCACCAGGTATTGTTTTATCTGGTCGTTGCATTCATTTTTGAGTCCGTTGTAAACGACAGTGATACATACAGTAAGTGTGTCGAGATTACCGACAGGGTGGTGCCGTCTATAAAAGCAAGTGTGCCGAGATTGCCAACTTCTAACCCAACTTCACCTTTTACCCAGGCCCTCGGAAATGAAAGGGCTGGGGCACTCGAGGTTTGCAGTACAAGAAGGCTTATAATAAAGGTATCACCAGACCCAATAAGAACTAGGAAGCTCCATTACGAAAATCAGCAAGTAAGGTGGAAGTGAAGTATTTGCTTAGAGTGCCGACATTCGCAGCACTCACCCAAGTTTATACCCAGAGTCCGCCAAAAAAAATGTATACACACTTCAGGAAAAGAAAAACTTGTATAAATATTTTAATACTAAATTTATTCAGACATCATGAGATTAATACAAGTTACCATTGGCCTCTACAATTACAAGAGTGCCAAAGGTAACTTGTATTAATCTCATGATGTCTGAATAAATTTAGTATTAAAATATTTATACAAGTTTTTCTTTTCCTGAAGTGTGTATACATTTTTTTGGCGGACTCTATATTTTCCTATGGAACATTTTTTTCCAATTAATTTTCTTGATAGTTTGTTGCGATTCGCATAGTGAAATGAGTTGTTGCTCCTTGAAATTACGGTATCTAATTTATGTTCAAGAAAATTGCCCTCCGATTTATTCTGTCTCATCGAATGTCGTTACGGTTTCCGGAACCGTCGACCGCGATTTCAAATGGCGAAAATACGACAAGTAACGATCTCGCAGCCGCTTCCTGTACGAGATCCTTAAGGAGAGTAAAGAGACGACTGGAAAGGGAAGTCCGTATGTGGAGTAAGCGCCGTATAGCCGTATATTTGAAGAGAAAACGGTGTCTCCAGGCAGAACGCTACGCAGCAGCTATTCTGATGATGCTGCAGCTCTTGAGCGAACCCCACTGACGTGAAGATTCACCCATTTTCTAAAACGAAATTTTGAACTCTGAATTTTGGCAGGTGAACCCAAAAACGCACACATCAATCAAACTTATATTAAAATAGCGATTCGAAGGTCCTCCCTCGCAACTCGAGCAACATATAAACTCGGCTATTTTAAAAGTTATTTTGGACGATTCTTTTCTCTGAAATTTGATCATTTGAAGAGATCTGAATGACAGACCCGAGGAAAAAAAGCAATAACCACGGCAATCCACCGAGGGGCTAGGAAATGTAAAGGTTCTAAAGCGGGGGACGCGAAGATTTGGATCGAGACATCATCTTCATCGTCATCGTGACGTCGCCTTCATGGAATGGCATTCGTGGTGTCACCTTCATGGCATCGTATTCATGGTGTCACCTTCATTCCTATCGCGACGACTCTTCCAATTTTTCCGCCGCCTCTCCCCGTCATGTCTCGCTTTTCACGGAAATGGGGCATGGCACGGAGCGTTGGAATGTTTTAGGGGGGATTGCGTCGTCACCGTAGAGTCTTGCAGTTGAATCCCCAGCATGGTAATCGAAAGGTTTTCCCCTGACTTAAAAGTTGTTCCTTGCACTCGGTTTTCTCCAAATGCAGGCCAAAAAGAAAGGGGAAAAGTTTTGCATGATTGAAGAGGCATCACATTACCATCGTCAATCTCTCAAATCCCAAACCTTGGCCTAGACCACCTGATCAGGGGTGGTCTCACCTAAGGGTACGATGCTGCAGCAGGGCGAACCCACCCTCATATCGCCCATGCCACTACCTGGGCAGCCCATCACCTTAGCTGGGAACAAAATCCCACTCACCGCATCGTTCAAGCATCAAAATTCATAGGTTTTACTTGGAAAGAGATATGGATCAAGGACCTTGCATCAGTCTTAACCCTAGATGTGCCAACCGTCTATAAAACCGACGTTGGTAGGCCGTCGTGCTGCTTCTGGCCCTTCTATAGTTAAAATCAGTTGGTGAAAGTGACTAATAAAGAAAGAATTGATGCTGGCATTCCAAAACCTATGGAGTAATGTAAGCAATGCGAAATTGAAGCGATGAAGTGGATCAATGTATTAGTTAAGAGTGATTATTTTCAAAACGTGGAAGTGAAGTAAAAGTCAGTTGTTCAGTTTAGTAGTTGTGTGTTCATTTGTGCGTGTAAAAGTCCGGTAACTTCTCAATCCCTTCTTGCATTCTATGACTCGTTCAGTGAAATCTTGCTTTGTTCCGGAGGGTGTCCGGATACCGAGGACACCTCCCCTCCCTTTCTCTCCCCCCCCCCTCCTCCGTGGCTTACTTCGCTGGCTGAAATGGGACTAAATCAGGTGGAAATGGAATCCCCGCGTGAACCTAAACACAGTTGCCCAATTTGTGATGACAGATTCTGTCTGGTTAAGGGGAGACTATAAGAAAAAATTAAAAAATTGAGATGCTTTGCAGAAAGTAAAAATCGTTGGTTCCATTGATGAACTTGTATTCCAAAGAACTTTTTGCGCCATAATTGTTACATCAAGCTCCAGAGATTTCTGAGATATTTTCAAAAAAGTAAAATATTAGTGCATTCGGCGGTTCCCAAGCCACAGCTAATAAAAGAAATCAATTTTTTTTTTCAAATGCAAAGGACTCCATGATAAAGCATACAGCTACAGATTAGAGCAAAAAAAATGAAATTTCAAAGTTATCCATGTAAAAATTGAACAATTTCTGTCATGTTATTCGAAAATTGCATGGTCCCTTAACAAATAAAAATAATCTAAACTGGTCCCAACAAATTCCAGTTTAGTTATTTCTGCGTGTCCATGCGAAATTTCAGGTTCCTTGCAACAATATTGTACAAGTAATTTGGGAAATAGTCATTGCATGCAATATGTACATACGTAAGAGTATTGGGATTTCTTGCTCATAGTCTCCCCTTAAAAGGATTGGGACTCGATCGTGGGACATCATTGGCGGATTTAGAGAAAAGCTTACCGAGGAAATCGTTCTTAGTCATATAAGTAAACTGCACTGCAAGTCTTTCAGTGCTGACCCAGATATTCGTCCTAAGCGACATTGACGACGCATTATGAGTCCGTAGATGAAGTGCTCATGCAGAGAAAAAAAATTACATCAGCATGAAATACAATCAGCATGAAATACAATCAGCATGAAATACAATCAGCATGAAATACAATCAGCATGAAATACAATCAGCATGAAGCTGAGGGAACCCACGCAAAAAATATTGCTTCAAGATATCAATTGAAGGAAATAATGCATTTACGCTCGCAAAGAAATAAAGCAGCTATAAAGTCAGTCACAAAATCTATCGTCAATCAAAGCACTGGAAAATAGCGAATATCGGTTGAAGATTCTGCTGCGCAAATGAACCTGGTGCTGTAACGGAAAATCCTTATGGTTAATTATAAATTATGAATGAGGTAAAACTTTCACATTCGCCATCGACAATGATAAATAAGATACTGACACCCTCACACAGCAGATTTAAAGTGAGCCTGAAACTTGATATTCCTACTTCACTATGAAAAGGATTTACCAAGAGAGTTCATGATTGGGTGGTAAGGTCTTAACCGCTTTTTATCTACGATTGGCCAAAAAGTTGGGATACATCCCAATAGTCTATAAGAAGGGTGATCAAGTTTCAATCTCGGTGTGAATGAGCGAAATTAACTACGCCATCGATGCTGCATTAGATGATTCCTTTGCTTTCTGTAGAGCTGATTTTGGAGGCGATGGAGGATATCCGCTGTACATAAATACACTTACTATGACGATTCCAGCACCTAGAAGGAACATGCCTGACAGGGGCACATCAAATATAAAGTAAGATGCGAGGCAGCTCAACACAATTCCAATGGCTGTGGCAAACCCCTTCAAGATGTTATCGGCATATTTCAAGACCATGGCAACGATGAGACCACCGACAGCCTGCAGGACGATAAGGAACCAGACATAGGCATCATACCCAATGAAGAATCCCTCCTCCATTATTTGCTCTGCATCCTGAATGAAGGCAGATACTAAAGCGATGGGCATAGATAATAAGGCCAGCTGAACCTGGCTCATCCATAGCGAGACATTGTGTCCTTTGAGGATACGTTCAAAGTAGACACCCCCAAAGCCTGAGAGAACACAAGCCGTCAATACGGCAAGAAATCCAATCAAAGGACTCTGGGCGTGAGTGTCCACCTTCCGACTCTCCTCTTGTGATAGCTGCACAATCGCAATCCCAGCTATTAGAATGATAAGAGCCAGCCACTGTAAACGAGAGAGACGCCGATTCAACATCGTCACGGTGAACATGGCTGCAGCGAGGATCTTTAGCTGATATGTGACTTGGTAGACTGCAACATCAAGGTTTGAAGATCCAATATAAACACAATTGTTCTGTAGAACGTAGATGAGAGATGGTAAGGCCACTTTCAAGGTATTGATGGGGTTATCAATTATATTTGATTTGAGGGCTCTTATCCACCTATGGTAGTCTCCTTCATCGCGATATACCATGAAAAGACTGGCTATGCATTTTACCACTTCGCTCATTAAGACCGCTACTGTGATAATGTATAGCTTCACTTCTCGAACTCTGGAGTATCTCATACATATGACAAGGGCTGCATTTTGCAATGTAAGAGATACCACGCTCACAGTCCTCATGTAAGCTGAGGTTTGGCCTTCGCTCTGCCTCATGTTTGTTTCTATATGCTTACTCGGATGCTCAGCTTCGCTCAGAACTGCTTCAGAATTGGTGTCACCACTTGACATCACCAGGTGCGATTCCGTAAACTCCGGGGGAACTTAATAGTCCATCAAAGTGGGCTTTGCATTCAAAGCCACTGATTTAGTTTCTGGTCTCTAGGCATGCCCATAAAAGCTGGACTGCAGTTTTAGAATTCTGAGAAAGGAAGAAAAAGTGAGACATTAAAGTAACTGGCACTGCATTTGGATGAGAAACTGTCTATAAGCCTATTACAATTACCGTCACCCAAATGTGCCTGGTTCACTCAGAGCGTTGAGATTCTCTCGAGTGATCGCCCTCACCAGGAGTCACCTGGCCTGATATTGCTCATCCAAAGCTCTTAAGCTAAAAGAAAGGGGAGTCTAGGAGCGATAGCGCGATCCATAATCCAAGGTCATGCAATATTATAAGCTTGCTTTTAGAAACAGGTAATTTGATTTTAAGAACAGTTAAACCATTAATATTAACGCCTTATTCACTTGGTCAGCACCTTTCTGGCATATGTCAACCAGTTAGAACCTGGATGATTAAAAACTTCTGAACATACCTAATGGACACGGAACGTTTGCACCTTTCTCGTCCGACAGGGAGAGGACAGGTCCCTTCATATCCATCCCAAATGTGTTTTGCACACATGCTCATTTGACGACTCCTATAGAAAGAGATATCTTACTCATGTGTAAGGCAGGGAATTTCATTGAAAATTTCCAGGAACCACCGACACGTATTACACCGTGACTAGCGGCCTATGGCCGCAATTGCGGCCTTCTACCCGAACATAGACTTTTTCCTCATTGCTCATCAATTAAGAACAGTCTTGGCCAGATTCCAGCTGCCAAAATGCGATCTACACTACACAATGCAACAGATATGCATCAAAGAGATGCTGAGCCACAGCGTGCTATATTTGCCAATATGCGCGAATTAGTTCAACATGGGTAAAGTCAATAAATATGGAAGGAACCGTGCAAGATCAAGAAAGGGGACAAACGTGGGAACGAAACGGAAAACTTATATCATAACAAACAAAAATAATCCCAACGAACGGATTTGACAAAGAAGTGCTTCTTCAAAGACCACATCGTCGGTAATGGTGCCAGCACCAGTTTTGCCCTGCTTCGGTCCATCGATAACCTGAATCTTGAGCGAATACTCATAACGAACTCGCGAGCAGGCAATGTACGAATGCCATGAATAGGCGTGTCGTTGCAAAGGTCGTTCCCAATCATACGATTCCGTACACGCATCAGGATAGCTCACATTTTTAGGTTCAGGGCGTGAGGAAAGAGACCAAGAGTATTGAGATTGTTGAAGAATTCTGTCGGAAAGGTGGGCTGCCGATCGGCGTCATCACCACCATGTTCGTTCTTCACAATTTTGGTACTACGATGTGAGCACAATTCGCCTTCCAATCGGAACGACACGTCCTCATTGACCAAACTGGAGTGCTCATTCTTGGGACACAGAATGAGTGCGATTGCTTCTCACTTCAGCATCGCAGACCTATCGCAGACCCTATGTCGTTGCCCAAACAGCTCGTTCACCAAATTATCGGAGATACGATGGCCTGGTAACCGCGCGGAGAGCTCAGATGGATCGCCCTGTACTCGTGGGAATGTTTCACTAATAACATCGAGTAAATCGAATTTCGTTTGCAGCAGCGCGCATGTTTTCTGTGAAACGAATCGTTCGGAACGACGATCACAACGGGCTCATTTTGACGCAAGTCTCAATGACTTAGCCGCAAGATACTTTGGCAACGACTGGCAACACTTGGCGAATGTCACCACCCGACAATTGCAAGCGTTTGCATCTTCTCCCATATAAAAAGCGTTTTCAACTCTGACGGAAACTCCTATGGGTTCGAATGGAACACCGTAACATGATCATGACAACAACCTTGCCGAAGTCTCCATTTAGAAGCGGAGAAAGGCAAAGCCAAGCAGTGTTCAACAGAGCATTCCACATTCATCGGGTCCAGATCGTGCGGAACAGCTGGATTGACGTTGGGCGTCCCAGCCAACGCAGCGAGAGTATGAGCTTAAAGGTTCGACGCGTACGCGCGCTGCTATCCGCGCAGCGTTAACAGCCTTATGTTGCTCTGCAATTAATGCAGCTCCTCTCTTGGTATTAACGTCCTCACGTTACTCACTGGTCAGAACAGACTTTCGCAGCCTGGCCGCTCCTTTTCCGCGGGCGCATCGCATCACACTCTTTCAACTCTTTTTGCGTACCGCTCACGGAGATCTACGTTTCTGAGGACTTTCGCCAGTCATTTTGCCTCGCCTATGGCCGAAAAAGTCATAGCCTTGTAGGCATCGAGCTTCAGGCTAATATAATTGAGGCTTTGGTCAGAGCGGCGGATTGACGAGGTAAATTGTCCAGTACCCAATATCTTAGACCAGATGCAGAGACATCACACTGTCGACAAAAGTACGAATTGTCAGAGCCATGGTTTTTCCAGTTACAACGTATGGCAGTGAAAGCTGGACAATCAGAAAAGTTGAAAGGAAAATGATTGATGCTTTTGAATTGTGGTACTGGAGGAGATTGCTTAACATACCATGGACTGCAAAGATAAGAAACAAATCAATATTGGAGGAAGTGAAACCGAAATGCCCTTTGAAGGCATCAATAGCAAAAATCAGGCTGACTTATTTTCGTCATATAATGAGAAGACTCATTAGAAAAGACATTGTCCTTGGCAAAACGGAAGGAAAAAGGAGAGGACGACAGAGAACACGATGGTTGGAGACTATCTTGAAAAACACACAACTGCGGCTGCAAGAACTGAAGGAGTTGGCCATGGATAGTAAATGCTGGCGAGACCTTGTCCATCGGGTCACCAAGAGTCGAACACGACTAAATGGATAAAACACACGCAATATCTTAACCCTTATCCGGGCAAGGTATTTTTGTGACACAAATGGCAAGGTCAAACTTTTTGTAATTTTTTTCCTTAAAAGCAAATACAAACTTAAAAAATTAGTTTTTCAATCTATGGATGACTGTCTATGAAACCCATACTAAATATGAAGAATATTTTGAAAAAAATTGCAGAGAGTAATGAATATGAAATACACCTTGGGGTACCCCCAATGGACCCCTCCTTGCCCGGATGAGGGTTAATCTGTTTAACCCATCCCCCCAGCCTAGGTCATGCAAAGCCACAGGCTTGTAGGCCTAACAGCTGCATGGGCAAAACGCGGCAAACCTATGACATGGAAAGGCGAAATCTTGCAGGCTGATCTGCTACCAAAGCTATGCCATGGAGGGGCAAAAGCTGTATAGGCCAGAGACTACAGCTACCACGGGAAGTTTTAGCGTATTCTAATGTAGTACTTGCGGCCTATGGCCGCAATTGTCAAAGAGTCAAGAGAGTTAGTGATACGAAGAGGCGATTTCGCCAGTTTCGATATCACGTGTCGAGGTCGAGCGTTCCTTAATTTTAGGGTAGGCCTAACCCTCTTAAAGCTATACATTTTTGTATTTTGTTTTTTTTTTTG